GTCTCAAACGTATTCGAGCCATGTGTTGGCCGACCGTTCCAATATCCCCCATGGGTATTTGTCAAAGTGTAGCGACGCCGTTTGGACCAACAAGTCCACTAATACTAAACAACTCCTATTGAATTCCAAGCAGAGAAACATCATCACGGATCTATGTTCTTCCGAGACAAACATTCAGTATCACGATACTCGCGTGTGATTCCTTGTCAAAAATTAGAATTTCGAGAGAAACCTTTCTTCGTTTGCACGCGCTGTTTGTAATTCCATTGAAATATTTTAATTTCATCATATTACATTTGTTTCCGTGCAAGAGAAATTTGATCTTCAACTGTGTAATAAACAATATATGCAAAAGCTAATTCAAATTAAATTATTGCACATGTAATAATGAAAACTGAGTTTTTATTTTACCGAGATAAATTATATGCACGTAATACGTATTGCAGTTGTTGTGAATGTTTACGAACAAGAAACTTTTAATGAATAACACACGATGGCCGATAGATTAATCGAACACGCGACAAACACGACAAACGATCGCCTGGACGGCGCGACGTGGCGTTCGGAATTCATGAATTCGTTAACGAGCATAGAACTCTTTTTAAAGAGCGCTTATCGTGGATGCGAGCCTGCGCGAGAAAATTAAAAAACCGATCGCCGCGCGGTGCGCGACAATTTTTCAAGCGTTACTGTCGCCGCTGTCATCGTCGCCTCGTTGTCGTTCGCGTTGTCGTACGACGAGCCTTTTTGCGGGAATCACGCGAACCAGGTATCAATCAGACGTATACCTGCTCTCCGGCTTGGTATCACGATAACCCCAGTTTCGACGAATATATTTACGTACCAGGCTAAATAATCGCGACACGACAATCGTTAAACGATCAAAACTCTTGTGACATCATTTTAGAAAGATTTTTATGACGATCTGAACTCTTTTTTCGAACGGTAAATAGATTATTTTTTACTCCTGATAATCTTAAAAAAAACCCACGGATTATCGATTAAATCTTTCTACGAATACAGGTTTCTTGCGACATTTCGTTTTTCTTAAGACTAATTCTTTTTTAGAACAATGATTCTCTTTAGATTTTGGAATAACGTTAAGGAGAAATATTTTTCACCTTTGATTACTCAGTGTTATCAAAATGATTTCTCTCTCATGATTTTGCAATTCCAATCGCTTGCGAAATTTATTTTCAAATATTCAATTTTATATGCAAATGAATATGTCGGGAATAAAATTATGATTAACGTCACTGACGTTTTATAGATTTCCAATATCGCAATTTCGAAAGATATTTCTAATTCTTAGACACAGACTGTGTGTAGCGAATATTATATAGAAACAAGTCAATCATTACGTATAGAAATAAAGAAAAAATGTTTCAATCTTTCAATCTTGACCCTCTTCTTTCTGAATATTTTATATAATTCAAACGTGCTTATATTATTCGTGCAACCTAATGACCTACTATGATTTCTATGAAAAATCGACACGTCCTCGCAAAAGGATGCCGTATAGTCACGTGCTCGGCAGCGCGTCGAGCTAATTTTCTAATTTCCAGTTCCAACGTTCTAATTTGCCAGCTAATATCCCATTAGGCTGTGCCCCACCGCCTGCCCCTAATTCTGTCGTTAATATCTAATTAGCCATCGGGCTTGCAGCCGATCCAACTAGAGCGCCGGCGAAGGGTTTCCTCCAAGATCCGCATGCTCGCGCGCGTGATTGTGCGAGCAAGCCCATTAGTTACTTGAAATTTATTAACCACATCCCCCTGCTTTCGAGTTTCCGCGGAAATTTCGAGGACAACAAAAAACTCACAGCTCGCGAAAATAATTTTGAAATCAAATCCTCTCTCGCGGATGACGCTCTTTTAATTCTAATCAACGAAGCTCTTCTAATTTTAATCAACACATGGAGTAGAAATGATAAAAATAGTACACACTCTCTCTTTCTCTCTCTCTCTCTCTTTCTTTATTTGATCAATTAGCTTGAAAAAGATTCAATGAAAATTTGTAGCTACCGTCGAATGCAGCGTCGAATAAATTCTGAAAATCTCTTGACATTATTTAACATCAATCAAAACCCGTAAAAGAGATGAAGAAATATCGAATTAGCTCGACAGTTTTATGATATATTGCGTGAATAAATAGGATTGCTTCACGACGACTCAAGTAAAAAAAAAGAAGATGAAAAAGATCGAGAACGCGATGGATGTCGTGGTCTGAGAACTACAACTGAAACAATTAAACGAGATACCTTCAATCGTTTATTTACCGCAAATAACTGACGGAAGGGAAATAGTTCTAGAGAATGAGTCTTGTTGCTCGTGAAATTGGTATGCCGATTATAACTGCTTCACTAGATACAAGAAACCGCTACAATTCTGTATTTACAAATCAAACTATGTATAATACTAAATATAATATTCCTGCTTTATTTTCTCTTCTTTTCGTATTTTTAAAATAGATTATCTATTATTCTTTAATACAGATATACACAGATAAAAATTATGCAATTTTGTGTTAGGTGTAATTTTGTAATAAATTTTAAAAAGTGCAACATTTAGTTTATATAATAATATACATATAACAATCTACATAAGGCAAATTATGTTGATTTCTAGAGATTAAAATCTCTAATCTTCAATAAGAATTTATTATACATAAAATAACAAAAATTATGCATTTGCTATGTGATTAACTAATTTGTATTTACTTTGAGATCAAGATAGATGAGTTGCGTTCACTTTCACGGTGTTTCTTTAATTAAGAGTCGCAGTGGAAGAGATAAAAAAATGCAATACAGATCGCGGAGTCATATGTGCCTGACAAAGTACGGCCACCATCCCGGGCAGACGTATAAATTCACGATTCTTTATTTTAGCGGTGCGCGTCCATCCGCAAAAAAGGATAAAGAGTCGGCGAAAAAAAAGAGGAACAAAACGGAAGTCGCACATCCGTCCGTTCGCCGGAAAGTGTGACTTGATTAACGAGCCCGTTATTGGAATTAGTTATCCATAACGAGTCGCTGCAGATACTTTTTCTCGCCACTCTCGGTGCAGCACCACTCCAACTTCGAAATATAGCGAAAATGAGGATAAAACAGGAGAAGGACGTCGTTTGTCACTAACGCAAGTGAATAAAACATCGCCGTCTTTCAGAATTCAGCTAAAAAATAGCTTTTTTTTTTGCAAAAAATTGTGCTAATCTATCAATGGTTTGAAAATGGAATTAAAAAATTTTATTATAGAGTATTTACAGAAACTGTGTATCTGTTATTCTTAGCTAATTGTGTGCAGTATTTAAAAAATCTATTAATTAGCTAATCTGAAAGAGAGATTAGCTGATCTTGAATAATATTAAATATAATATTAGTATATTTTCCAAAGCTTGTTTTTTAGATACGTCATAAATATAAAAGAAAAGCAACGTATATCAGAATAAAATTTTGTTTTAAATTTGATTTATCTCTCATACAAATGTTCGAAATGGTGCAAACAAACTTATAAATAATCGGCGAAACATTTTTGTTGGCATAAAAACTTTTCAAATTTCGCACGCAATTAGTTGAAAATAACAGATACATAGTTTGAATAGTCATTCTTAAACGGTATTGTTAGTACCATCGTAAAAAAATCACTCTTAAAACTGATGTGTATAATTAAGAACCGAGGTAGCTAAATTATAAAATATCATATTTATTTTATTAAAATAAATTCAATTCTAGTAACTATTAATCCAATATAATTATTTTGGTTATTAAATATTCTGAAACAATTTTAATTAATATAACTCTTAGCTAAGATTATAGATGTATATTGTATTATAAAAACATTTTATCACCGTTAGATATATATATATATATACATCAAACTATTTTCCTTTCCTCAAAAAGGTTCCATTTAGATGTTTATGGGCAGTTTACAAGAGAGATAACAGTACATATAGAGCAAGCTTGCTTATCTCTGCCGAAGGGGTTGGAATGGTAGCAGACTAAAATACATCGTTATGCACCGACTACTCTGTGCTAGCATCGACATGGATGGCGTCCTCAGGGCAGCACACGAATTAACTCATAATATACCATACGATTAAAGCCTCTGGCAAATGCAACATCGTTATTATAAGCTAAATTTGATACGCGAGTTAAGTATGCTTCCTTTTCATTTTTTTTTCTCGATTGGAAAAGCAATTTTTTGACACAACAGAAACTTTAAAGTCAGCTTAGTGCTTCAATCGAGTCGAAACTTTCTCCCTCCGACTTTTTTGTTTCTTTCTTTCTTCCTTCTCCTTGTATTTTTTTCACTATCGCAGCCCTCGTTTCATCGAAACGTCTTTACTCGGCAAATGTTGGAAGGAAAAAAAACCCTGGGGGTGCTAGGGCTTTACAGAAGGCTTAACGACAAAACTTTTCGATTAGGGTGACGACGAAAAATTCGCAACGGCCAGAAACTACATATCTGCTGCGATTTTTCAGTCTCGCTTCCTTTTACAAATGGCGAAGCAGACGCAAACACTCGATTAATCGAGGAGACACGAGTGGGATGGTTGTTTGTTTGCTTACTCGATTATTCACAACGATGTTTAATGTCTAAGCTGGCAAATAAATCTAACAATTGTAGATAATCGAGAGAAATAATCTAAATCAATTTGTCTTTTTGCAGCCAGGTCTTTACTTATTCATTTCAGATGATATCGCGTTCTTGTGCAAACTAAAGCAAACATATGTGATTACATCACGAAAATATAATTTTGTTGAAGAAAATAATTTGAAAATAAAATACAAAAAAAAAAAACGTATTAAAACGTTTGACATTTTGGTTTGTTAAATTTAAATTTTAGATAAAGATGTAAATATAGATAAATTTATCATTTTCCTGTTCGCGTGGATGCATTTGATATTTATCGATCGTTCGTGCGAGGTAACTCATAGTGGTTACGTAAGGGAAACGCGGAATCGAGAGGATGGAGGGAAGATCTACAGGGTGCATACACACTGTTTCTACCGGAGAACAGGATCGCCATATAAATCTGAGAAGGCGGTAGTTCGGGGATTTTACTTCCATGCTCGCACGGCGAATAAATCTTACTGGCGGTCCCGAATGCAGGAATCGAGCCGAAAAGCTCGAGATTTCGTGGACGATTCGGGAAGCGCGCGCGTTTTCTCGGCGAAGTGGCTCCATTAATCATCATTTGTCGAAGCGATTGCCGAGATCGAATCGTGCACTCGATTAATCACGACACCGCGAGTAGGGATAAAACCGAGAGGAAGCGGACTCTTCGCGCAAATTTTCTACGAAATTTATTCGCCATGATAATTTCAAATCACTCTTCAAATATCGCGAATTTTCCCCACAAAGGGTTTATTTGCATTCTTTTGATCTGCTTTCAAAGAAATTAATTGTCATTTTATTTTACAAGAAAAGTTTAATTTTTTAATTTTTAAGTTTTGCAACTTGTTGTATTATTTTGTTAAATCGCAGTAAAATACATAATAATATAAATGATATTGACTGAAAAAAAACGTGATGTGTGATATTGTTAGCGAGCACTTTCAACATTTTGAATGATAAACATCAGTAAACTTTGCAAGCGCTACGTGATAACGGAGGAGTTAGGATTATCGATATTCCTTGGTAAACCTTCCTCGAACAACCTTTACGATGCCGTTCGATCCTTCAAGCTTTCCAGGATACTTGTACAAAATTGATGTGAGTATCAATTGTTAATGCCAAACAAAACGTTCCCATCATTCCATTCAAAATGCTTTATATACGATCGTGCAAAGCCGCAGATATTTCCATCTCGAAAGACAATTATAACGTTTGAATTTTTGAAAAAAATATATTAATAATACGATTGTTCTGGTTTTATTTTCTTGCATTTTTTCAATATTTTAAATTTAATCACTAAGAGCAATTTAATATTTTTATTAAATTATATTCTTAACATAAAAATATAAACAAAATCTATAATTATTCTCTCATTAATTCTTTATGCAAATAGAGAAGCAACTAAAAATTGAAAAATACCTATCTACTAAAATCTGTGCAAGAAAAGGGGGAAACGCGACTTTTATAAAATATACAATATCTTCAAAATTGAAATCAATGTATGAAATTTTGCTGATAAAATATCCGATTGATTGGCAGATAAGAAAACAGATATTTCGTATTTACATATTATGTTGCACATATTTTTTACCGGGAATCCGTTTCATAC